GTCGTGTTCCGTGGGAGCTGCGATGAATTATCCCTGCTGTGAGCCTTCCTTTCTTTATTGGTAAACATAGAGATGATATTATCTAGCCCTAAATGCTTTGACCCCACTGCCTCATCCTGAGTCAGGGTGATGGAGCACAGCACTGCTTCCCCTTTCTGCAGAAAAAAAGAACTCTCAGTGATAGGAATGAAAAGGGGAGATAAGGAGCTTGGAAAATAGATTAAAATGTCTAATACAGCTTTAATGGGAGCTTTAGGGTTTCTTCCTTGTCTGTATTCAGTCGGGCTGTGAGTCCTGTTTAGTTTTGTCTCCCAGAATATTCATATCTATATTTCACTGCAGCTTCTGAGTCTTCTATTGGACAGAGGTGCTTTGGGCTCTGCACCGTCCTCTGTCCCCAGGCCGTCTTCCCCAGGCAGCGTTCACCTTGATCCCGAAGTGCTTGCTCTGAAATGCGTGGCTCTCTGACTTCTCAGATCTCATGGTTCCTTCTCGCTTAAGGTCAAATTCCCGCCTGTCAGTGACCTATAATCCTTTTTTCTCATTAGGTCTCTGACTCCAGGGCATATGATGCTGACTGTCAGCCTAAGGTACCACCTGAGGGAGGTGAGCTCCAGTGAGATTAATCAGTCAGGGACCTGCAGGGTTTGCCCTCTGAAGTGCGTATCCTGTGTCAGGTTATAGGTTTGTTTGGGGAACTTGAGACATGGAGAAACTTTTATTTTATTTTATTTTTTTAAGGAGAAACTTTTAAAAGCAAAAAGAAGTATGTGCAGGTGGTTTTGAATCAAAACTTCATTAGTTCCAGGACTTATGGTAGGTGATGGTTGTGTGTATTGAGTATCAAATGGCTGGGTTTAGGTTGGACTGCCTGTTACTAGAAAGATGGTCTCATACACGTGGCATAACTGCAAAGTTATGGTTTTGTTTATTTATGTATTGTTTTGGGATTTTTTTGTTTGTGTGTGTGATTGTTCTTGTTATTAGGCAGTTATGTGTGTGACTTTCCCTTTGTGGCTCCTTGGTTGCATGTTACTAGGTTTGACATAAGTGACTCCATGTTGATTCTGAGAGCTTTTGCGCTACTCCACTGAGTAGGGTACCTCATCCGCTAGGAGAAATTTCAGTCATAGCCCTAGGGAAAATGTCAGAATTATCTCTGTTGGAAATTGAGGCCCAGAGAGCACAAGGGCCTGGATAGGTCAGGATGATCATTGAGTAAAGATTCGTTTCACCTTTTTACCTTCTTTCACAGTAGATCTTGGGCTTCTATTACTTTCATTGGAAAGAAGATTCTGGGCCCTGACTCTTGAGTCTTTTCAAATGCAGAGAGAGCCAAGTAGGCACGCTGTGACTGTGGGAGTGTCATTCTGCCTGGCCACAGCTGAGCAGAGCCACACTGGGTGAGTCCCAGCTGAGATCACTGCACATAGTGTATCAGCTCTGAATGAGGTACTGGGAACCCTTATTGCCTGGGATCTCAGTTCTACTCCTAATTGCTACTGCGAACACTGAAGACTGTGTGCAGAGTTAATGAAAGTGTAGTAGAAAGAAAAACAAGGGCGACCATCTGGTCCCCGCCATTCTCCAGCCTTTGATTTCAGTGCTGTTCAGTCTCTGTCCAGAGGCAACAAGTATGCAGAAATGGTTGATGTTGACAGATATTTCAGTTTTCGTGGAGCACAAAGGGAGCCTACTTTGCAGCTCATGTATTTGTGCCCTGTTTCTGTCACACAGGAGCTACGACTTCAGGGAAGTTCCTTGTCAGTCTGAGGCTCTGGGGCCTCAGCTGTACCACCCCCAAGCCGGAGGTGGGGGCCAGGCAGGGAGTTTGGAGTTTACTTTCAGGGCAGTAGGTGAGCCCAGGGCAGTTTGTGAACATGTTTTACTGTTTTCTGGTGCTCAGAACAGCAGTGATAACTGCTACCATGTAGGGAGGACACTGGGTCAGATCTCTGTGTGGCTCAGGTGGCCTTGGTCAAGAAGGCAGATAAAGGCCATAGGAGGCTGGTGGTAGAGGGCAAGGAAGTGCCATGGGCACAGTAGATTGGGGCACAGATGGAACTGGTCCTTGACACATGGGGGCTGCCTGGGGATGGGGGTTGTGGTCTAATTCAGAGGTGTTGAGAGACAAGGGGAAGGGGCAGAGGGAAGCCTTTGGTGACCAAAGCTCCACAGGCTTTGGAGAAGAGCTGGTGGCTTTGCAGATGGGGACATGGAGGCCCAAGGTGACCTCTCTGCAGTGATCCCACAGGTGAGAGGTGTAAGCCCAGTGCCCTAGGTCTTCTGCACTGTGGCCTGCTCTGGTCCAACTGCTAAGGATGGGGCCATGAGGTCTGAGGGTGGGTGGCTTCTGGTTTCCTCAGCATGGTGCCAAAGATCAGGTCTGGCATCAGTCGAGGAGCCCAGTCCTTTGTCACTGCACCTAGGGCCCCTTTCAGCCATCCCACTCTGTTGTGTTTGCAAAGTATTCTTTATCTGACCATGGGGGCCGCTCTTGATCAGCAAGTTGTCCATTTCCTCATCGCTACCTTGGCGAAGCTGGTGGTTCAGAGCACTTCCTGCAGAAACCTGCTGACCCTGTGTGCAACTGCTCTTAAATAAGTGCTCTGAGGCTAGGATGGAGGACAGTAGTCATTTTGCTTTATAGGCCATTGTTGTGACACTTGAAAGGTGACAAATTATCCGTGACAAAATTTCTCATTTTGAAAATTGTGCAGTTTTTCTTCGGTATTCAAGCCTGAGGATAACCCAGACCCTTACAGAAATGGTGTTGCCCTTGCATTTATCTATGCACGGTTGATTTTGTGCTTTAAATCATCTCCAGAAGACTTACTGTGCCTGATACAGGCTCCATGCCGTGCAGAGTTGTGACACTGTCTTGTTCAGGGAGGAATGGTAAAGAAAAGGTCTGTGTGTGTTCAGTACGGATGCCATTAAAAAAATGTGTCTGATTCCCCAGGTGTGGCGGCCACAGCCACTGAGGGCTATTTTATAATTTTATAACATCCTTGGTGTCGAGAGATCAAGGTCGCAGTGCTTAGGGTAAGATGTCATGGCGCCTGCAACTTTCAAATGATTCATAGAAAGAGACACATCCGTGAATCAGTGTGTCCTCACGGTGGACAGAGCAGATGCAGAGAGGCGCAATCAGATACAGATATCAGGGCAGGTGTAGCTGTTCTTCTACTTGTACTATTTTCCCTAGTTTGAAAACTTCACACAATACGGCGTCTTCAAATGTGTTACTGATGGCAGAGGCATCTTGAGGTGTCAGTTGCTGTGTCCCCCGGTCTCTTGGACCTGTGGTCTTCACCCTTCCAGGTCTTGGTCACCTTGAGGAGGAAGGAATCGCTCACGCCAGTTGTGTCCTGGACGGCCTTGGGGGTGCAACTGGAATTAGAGGCGGAGGATTTTGATGAAATTCATTCTTCCCCTATAGAGAAATTATTATGTTTCGAGATTGTGCGTTGACCAGTTTTCCTTCAAACTTTCATTGTCTTTTTTCTATTTTCCTTAAAGCCTTGTGGCCTCTGAAAATCACGGAAGTGGTTATTGTAACTATTCAAACAGGGAGGAGAATAAGGGTCCTGTTGCTCCCATTGCTCCAGATCTGTCCCTGTGGATAGCCGGTGGTCACGGCACCTCCTGGGTGCTGTCCTGTGTAGGGACATGTGCCACATGTCAGATGCCCGTGCACGCCTCTGGGGCATGAGGGCTGTCCGCCTTGTTTGGGCTGTTTGTCCTTACCACCCAGGAGGACTCAGGAGAGGTTACTATGTCTAGGGAGCCCTAGCTCCGAGCACTGACCTCTCGCCAGTGTAGTCATCTGATTCTAAGCCACCTCCTCTCCTCTTTCAGATGACACTGGGCACCACCGTTCATGTTATCTGTGGTGGAGCTGGGAGTTGAGGAGATGTGCAGTTTGTACTGTGGAGGGCAGGGAAAGTGTCCTGGGAGAGGCAGACACCTGCACAGAGCTTGCAGATTGGGCAATTTTCTTGTTCAAGTATTTCTTCTAGTCTCAGGGCCCTGGGCACTTGGGAAAACATGGTCACTGCTGTCCTGGGGCTCCAATTCCCTGGCTACTTCTCCCCCAACACTAGCTCTGATGGACTGCCTTGAGTTACCTAGGAAGGGCCAAGGCTGAGTCCTCTCTCCTTTCTAGGGTCCAGAACTAGCGACATGTCTTGGGGGTGACAGGCAGGAGCACAATCCCAGGCTGGAGCCATGCAGGATTTAAATGTGGCCTTGGCCTGGTCTCTCTCTGGGCACAAGCTTTCCTCCTGCCTCATGGGAGACACCGTTTCCTACAGCTGGGACTTACTAATGTGATCTGCACATTGTCTGATTGGTGCTGAAGAGGCTGTGAAACCTGCCAAAATGGGCAGCATCCTTTGCCATGGGCAGCTCCCCTGAGCTCTCCTACCAAGTCAGACTGGAGGGGTGTGGGCTAGTCTAATCGAGGGCCCAGGGATCAGAGGCAGTGGACTAATATTCAGAAGCATTTTCTATGAGGGAGAAGAGTGGGTTGGAAACTGCGTAGTGGAGCTATGGGATGTGTCCAGGGAGGAGTGATCAGTGTCACTTATTAGTGGTAAACATCACTATTAGTTGTCACTTATTAAGCATAAACATCTCTCGTAGTGCTTGGCTATTAGATGTCTGCATGGCTCTGCAAGAATATAAATGTCACTGGATTAGAAGTAAGCATGTGGCCCCCTCACAGAGGCATGAACTGAGTGGTGTAGTAAATTTGTGAAGGCAGAATGCGTCCAACGAAAGAGTCCACAGGAAAAGGCAGTCCTGCTCCCAGAGCACTGTGGGACTCGGTACTCTTTGGGGTTGAGTTACCAACATTTAAGGCATGTGAAGATTCTGTCTGCCCACACCCATGACTGTTTTACTGTGTGCTTCTGGCCTTTTGTATTGAACAAGTTATGAAGAGAGTCATTATTGCTTCCATTACAGCAGGCTCTGTATCTTTTTGTTACCCGCAGTTGCCTACCCTCGTCTGCTGTTTTCTGATGGCTGGATTTGTATGGTGATGCCACTGGTACTGGTGGTGGCTTTGGTAAGTATGGTAACAGTGGTGACAGCTGGAGATTGTGGTGGTAGTTAATGGTGATAAGGGGGTGGTAGCAGAGATGAAGATGTGGCAGAGTCAATAGGGCAGTGATGATGGTAGTGGTGATGTACATGTGGTGAGTGGTGTTGGTGGTACAGAGGATGAAACTTACACACAGGGTGTGTCATAGACACTTTTAAAGTATTATTTCAATCTATTACCTCCTCATAACAATCTTTGGGGTAGATACCAACTCTTGTCCATTTTCTGGGCAACCTGTTATAGTTGATTCATTGTGTCAACTTGAGAAGTTTAGAAGCTTAGCTAATTCAGCAGTTCCACATCCTAGGGTGTAGAGAACATGCCCTAGGACAGCTGTTAATGCCATAGGATGTTGGAATGGTTGATTCATTGTGTCAACTTGAGAAGTTTAGAAGTTTAATTAAGTGACTCAGCAGGGGGCCAGGGTCCTCACTTTGTAAGCATCTTGAGCTTGTGCAAGAGAAGGGCAGGAGATGGTGTGAGTTGTATACCTACCTGAGGGTGGGTAGCCAGCATACGATGTAAGCGAGAAATAGAGGCTTGTTTTCCCTGTTTTTGCTGTCTTCCACCACCGCAAACTGTTGACCTCTGTGATGCCACTCTACCCTGCAGCCAGCTGATTATGGACTGAAACCTCCACAAATGATGAGTAAATGAACATTTCCTTCCTTACTTTTGGGCATTGGGTGTTTTGTCTCAGCAGTGAAGGAAAAGTAACTGACACACAACCCTGTTGGACTCAGCCACACAGTGCATGCAGAATTGAGATTCAGAGTTCCATAGGCTGGCTACAGAGTCTCTGCTAAACTCAGGTGACCCAGTACAATCCTTGGACCATATCTTAGTCAATTCTTCATTGCTGAGACACAATGCCTGACTCCCACAATTTAAAGGAAGAGGTTTTTAGAGGATTTAGTCCAAGACAGGAAGGCATGGTGAAGGAGGCTGGTAGAGGAGAGCGGCTCACAGCATGGCTCCCAGGAAGCAGAAAGAGGAGGGAGGAGCCAGGAGGAGATAAATTCTTCCAGGCCACATCCCCTCGACCTACTTGTTTTGACCAGACCTCACTTTTTAAAAGTCATTGCTTGGGCCCCCAAAATCCAGTCATCTTCCAGAAGCCCCACTTCTGAATATATGAGAATTTTGGGACATTTTAGATCTTAGCCACACAGATCAGCTGTATCAGGTCACCTGGCTGCTGGGCAGGAGCACCCCACTGGGCTTGTGTTAAAATGCCCTTCAAAGTCTCATGTACTGATAGGTGGAGTTTCTGGGAGTAGCTGGATCCTGGTGTGTGCTCCTGGAGTATGAGTGTGGTAACTAGATTGGTCCACTGGTTGGTTTGGGATAGTCGTGGGTGATGGAAATACTGAAGAAGGAAGCCCTACCCTGGATGTGAGTGGCATCAACCAATAGGCTGGTAGCCTGGGTGGAATATAAAGGGAAAGAAGAAGAGCAGGCTGCCACTTCCTGCCTCCTGCCTGCCCTGCCATGGACCGTTTGGCCTCCGTGATGCTTCTCTGCCGTGCTGCCCCACCCTGGAGCCAGCTGACTGTATACTGAAACCTCTACAAACCATGAGCTGAAATAAACCTTTCCTCCTTTAACTTGTGGGAGTTGAGTGCTTTATCCCAGAGTGTAAGGTGAGAAAGACACACCCATTCACTAGGGAGAGGCCAGCAGGAGAGTCAGAGTGTTTACTAGGAGGTTGTTGTCCGGAGATAAAAGTCCGAGAACAGTTGCCCTAAACCTCTGTGGTTCCGGCCCACACGGTCTTTTATCAGCTTTGGGTCTGGCTTGTGTGACTGTGGCCTTGCCCCCAGGGAACTGTGACAGGCCCAGCATCCCCTTCAGACAGGTCTTGGGCCTTGCTGGGCAAGGTGTAGGTGCTGGACGGGAGGGTGGGTGTTTCTTGCTGTTGCGCGTGTGACCATGTCACCTGGGGATTGTACTATAACTAACTCAGTGGTTCTTATGTGCAGTTAACGTGGTGCCAGTGCTCCAGAGTGGTTTCTTTGTCTCTGATGCCTGTTAAAACCATCTGAGCAGGTCGAACGTGGCTCTGCCCCACCAGCGTGGGGCGGTGGGGGGGACCAGGATGGATTCCACTGCCTGGAACAAAGTGGTGCTCCCCAACTCCTGCCACTCCCTGCCAGCTGCGAGATGCATGCCTTAGGGACCACTTCGGGGTGTCCAGCCTCCCTGCTTGCTGGTAGGGCAGAAGTGTTTTGCCAGCATGTAAGTTTCAGAGATGTGACCTGTCTTGCACCCTTCCTTTCTCTTTGAAATGGGAAATAAGCTATAACCATACAGAACATGACAGGGATGTGTTCAAAGAAATACGTCACCAGGCGAGTTTGTTATGAGAATGGTAGAGGGTGCTGTAAAATCTAAGCTGGCCACAGCATCCCTGTGGTGATGTACGGTAGCTGTCCAGTGTTGTGGCTTGGGCGGCCCCCAGGGGCCTGGGTACCTCCAGTGGCTCCTGAGCTGTCGGCTGAGGAGAACTTAGAAGACTTCTGGCTGCGGGGCTGGCAGGGTCTTCCTGGGGTGGGGAGATGTGAAAGTGCAGACCTCTGGAGGCTGGGGGGAGCCCCTGTGCGGCTGGGGAGTGAGGTTTGTGCAGGCCAGAGGGAGGTCTGAAGCTTGGGACAGTCCCTGGTGTGCCTGCCGCTTGGGTTTTCAGTTGATCCTATGAGGAGACACTGTTGGTGTCAGTGCCTTTGATCTGGACCTGGCAGAGTGTCGCCTGCCTTACTGAGGTCTGCTGTTCTGTGTGTCCCTGTCCCAGAGGCTGTGGCCCCGAGTCCCTGACCATTGCCTCCTGATGCTTTGCAAACCCTGGACCGCCCTTCTGCCTCTCCCCAGGCTGTGTCACCAAGGCCATTGTTTGTGTCTTCACTTGGCCAGGTCCCAGCTGACCTTGCTAGGCTCGGGGCAGGGACAGATTCTGTGGGGCTTGGGGCTTTGGTTTGGTTCATTTGCTTGATGGATGAGTCGGCTTGAAAATAAATTGTAGACACATGCATGTGTACACACACGAGTTGCATGTGGCTTCTGGAACCCATTTTTGTTTTTGTCTTTTTGAGACAGGGTCTCCCTATGCAGTTCAGGCTGGCCTTGGGCTCATTTTGTATCGCAGGCTGGTCTCGAACTTGCAACTATTCCCTTGTCTCAGCCTCCTGAGTGCTGGCATTGCAAGTGTGAGCCACCACACCCAGCTTAAACCCATTTCTGTAAACTGGCAGCTTGAGGTAGAAAGGCAGGAGGCTGAAGCCAAGGTGGGGTAGGGTACGTTTTCTGTGCTGGCTCCAGGCTGCCTTCGCTGTGGGTTCCTCATGTCAGGCCCCACTTCCCCCTTCGCATGGCCTCCTCTGGGTCTCTGACTCGCGGGGACACCTGTCAACCTGGGTTAAGGGCCACCTTCGTCCTGCAAGCCTCATCTTAACCAAGGACATCTGCCACGCCTCTTCTGAGGTTCCACTGTGAGGACGCGTGTATTCTGGGGACACTGTTGAACCCGTACATTAATACCTACATTTAAATATTAATAGCTTCACTGAGTTATGATTCAAATACCGGAGCACCCACCCCTTTGAAGTGTGTAACTCAGCGGGTTCATGTGTTTACAATATGCTGTTCATAGCGATCGCCATGGCGTGATTCCAGAACACCCTCATCTCCCGAGAAAGGAAACCTACACCCCCGCTTCCTCGCCACAGCCCTCGCCAGCCGTGGATCGCCGGTGGTAGGCACTGAGAAAGGGGGAATCGTGCAGTCTGTCAGCCTCTTGACTGGGTCTCTTCACTTTGTGGTGTTTCAGGGTTTATCCATGTTGAAGCAGAGAGCAGGATCTCATTCCTTTTCATAGCAAATGATCCTGTGTCATATCTATTCCATGTTCCTGTGTATGTGCACGTGTGTGTGGTGTTGCATCCGCTGCCTGGTCTACCCGTTCACGGCTGACAAGCATTCGCATTGCTTCCATTTTCTGGCTGTTTTGGATAAGGCTGCCGTGGACATTTGTGCACATCATTTGTGCACATGATGGTGTGTGTGTGTTTCCGTTCCTTCTGTGATACACTTAAGAGCTCCATCATAGGTGGCACTGTGACGTTTTGAGGACATTTTCAGGAAGCAGCAGTGACTGGCTGCACCAGTGGCACACATTGGGGCTGGTGGTCCCCTCGCCTGCCAGTGGCATGGCACTGTGCTGCCTCTGCGGCGTGGCTGACCTGGTGCTGAGAGGCATCGTCCTTGACTGCTGGGGCTCTTTGAGGCTGCTTGTGTGTCTTCTTTGCAGAACCTGGGTGGATCCGGGCAGGCTCACTTCTGATTGTCTCTATGCTGTCACTTCTGGAAGATGAGTCTGAATGGTGTCCAGGACCTGGCTGGATCAGGCCAAGTGGTCTTGGCCACCACTTGCTTCTGCAAAACCTTTGTTACATTCATTTGTCCTCTGATTTAAAAGTTGAGGTGCTTGTAAGTGGACTTTAAGGCATCCCTAGAGCTACTGAAGCTGTGCCCTGGGCAGGTGACATGTGCAAGGCCAGGGTGGCGATAGCCTGGTAGGGGCTGAGCTCAGGTCGCACAGAAGTGCAGGGTATCAGGAGTGACCGACTTCTTGGTTTCCAGGGCCTGTGAGCAGAAACGACCGGGTTTCCAGCGGGCAGTGCAGGACCTTAGGCCGGGCGTGGGCCCTTCGGAGGCTGGGCAGCACTCTGCAGCGTGCTGGTCGTGTGCCAGCTTGGCTGTCAGCCCTGGCTGTCGAGAATCCTGTTTACCTCGTGGAGTGGGGGCTGTCCAGGGTGGAGGGAGAAGTGGCTGGAGGAGGACGACGGCCACTGCCAGGAAGAAGGTCACATGAGGAGGGGAAAAACTACTCTGGGAGGACATGGGAGCTGGTGGCTGTAAGAGGGAGGGAGGCGTCCTCTAGGCGGACCCCAGGTTTTGGCCTGGGTGCC